TTGGAAGTACGGTAAGTACCAGGATAATTTTTAATATAACTCCGATTGGATTCGTCTGAAATTCTTTGCCAATAATAATAATAATAACAATGGCTGCAACCATTATAGTACTTACGGTAGTTCTGTTTGGTAGGGTAAGTACGGTAGTTTCCAGCCTCACGTCCTTTATGGATGGCATGGCATTAGCTTTGGAGTGATGGCGGCGTGTCTGCTGAATAGAAAATGCCAGGTGGCTGTGATTTCTTAATCTAAGGTAAATACCCGTTTTATTGGTTATGTTGGCTGTAACTCTTTTTAAATGCGTGACATTTTGTAATCACGAGCGATAAAATATTTTGTGCAGACGGCAATGATGGTTTGTGCCAGAGTTGAAAAACTGTTGTCTGCTGCTATGTGATTGAAGTGTATGCGTGTTTTATATTGTGCTGTATTTATTGAAATGTGTATTTTTGTATTTATAGGTGTTATTAGATGTGTTATAATATTGAGCACAATAATGAGGGTGTTTTGAAATAAGACAAGCAGTTTATAGTGCTTAAATATACACTTGAAGACTGCTACGTTATATTTAGCCTATCACCTACTATAGATAAATGTGAATTAAGTTTGACATTGGAAACATTAAAATATCACTTTGTCATGCTCTTTTAATTGCCTTAACAACGTGTAACTAATTGTATTACTATGAATGTAGTCACTATAAAGTTGAACTATGGACCTATTATGTTGCATGGTAGTTATATAATTATTATTTGTTTTAATATATTATTGATAATCTCAGATTGTTAGAAAAATGTCAAAGCAGTTTTATAGTCTTTCAGCATCTAAGACTCAAATAATGGGCTTACTACAAACCAGTGGCGGCTCGTGGGTTTTAAAATAGGAGGCGGCACACTAATTGTATTGGTCTGGGATCCCTGCCGATTATTATTATTATTATTTGCTTAACCACTTTAAAATTGCTTTTTGGTTGCTTTTAGTCATAAAACGTAAAGAAAAGACACGCATTCAACAAGATAATATAATATAATTTCACTTACCTGGCCTATCACTTGAAGCAAACATCCATCCCTTCTTAAAAGTCTGTGTTAAAAGAGAGCTTCCTGTTGTGCCATTTAATTAAGCCCCGACTGCTGTAGCCTGTGTCCAGTTAGGCATGTTTTCCCTTTTTTTAATTTGTATATATTATGTACTGTTTGAATGACAGCTTGGTAAATCTGTTGGCGATCAAATATTCAATATCGCTACTCATCATAAGTACTTGGTACATTATCAGCGCAGCGGGAGACGTTCAAACTAATAGCACATAATGTACATCTCTTTGATGATTGGTTGATATCAGAAGGTTTTATTTATATTTATTTTATATGTGGTTCACAAATTTTTTGCAACCATGTTATTAAACTTTTAAACATCTTACACCTCAGGACTTGTAAATATTTTACAATCACACAACTGTCATTTTATTAATTTCTAGAAATGAACATAAAATATCAAAATAAAACAATGTATCAAATAAATAAACTTTGCTAGAATGGGTAACAGGCCTGCAAATTTAGTGTAAATGAACCAAATTCTCATTTGTAGTTACTGGTGAACTTGGTTGGTTTTTGTTAGTTAGTTAGTTTTTTTTATTTTTTATTATTATTATAAGAAAGATATTTAATTGTTATTTTTTCATGGTAACAGAATTGATAAATGCACTCAATAATACTATACAAATGTTTGTATACAGTTGTTTGTATGTTGTTGTTTTTTTATTACATCAGGGTTCACTTTTATGTCCTTTCCCTTCATATTTCTCTCTTTGGTTATTTATGATTTACTGAAAATGAAAGCTATTCACTGTCATTTTAGACTTGATCAAAGAGAAGGAGGAGACTGAAGACCTGAGTGAAGCAGATGAGAAACATGTCAAATCTTTGAGTCACTCACAGACTGAGAACATTTTTTCCCTAAAAAGATCCAAAAAATCTTTAACCTGCCTTCAGTGTGGGAAGAGTTTCACACGTAAAGGAAACCTTAATGAACACATGAATATTCACACTGGAGAGAAGCCTCACGCATGTGATCAGTGTGGGATGAGTTTCAGACATAAAAGAAACCTTAATGATCACATGAAAATTCACACTGGAGAAAAGCTGCACACATGTGATCAGTGCGGGAAGAGTTTTACACGTTCTAGGTCTTTTAAATTACATGTGCTCTCTCATTCTGGAGAAAGACCATATAACTGTGATCAGTGTGGTAAAAACTTTTCTTGGGCAAAATCCCTGAAGAACCACCTGAAAGTTCATTCAGAGGTGAAGCCTCACCTGTGTTCTTTGTGTGGAAAGAGTTTTAGTCAGCTGGGTCTTTTAACACAACACCAGAAAAGACACAGCGGTGTGAAGAATCATTTGTGCTTTTATTGTGGGAAGACCTTTATTACAGCTGATGAATTGAAACAGCACCAGAGGATCCACACTGGATTAAAACCTTACAAGTGTTCACACTGTGACAAGAGCTTCAATCATCCAGGAAGCTTGAAAGCACACGAGAGAATCCACACGGGAGAGAAGCCGTATCACTGCCATCCATGTGGGAAAAGTTTCACTCATTGTAGTTCTCTGCTGAGTCATAAAAAAAACAAATGTCTGAAATAAAATCTGAATTTATGTAAAGATCCAGCTCTTGCAAGTGCAATGCTGCATCTTCACCAAATGTGACCCAGTCATTTTGCTTTTATTAATTTAGTAATCATTGTGGTTTTTTATATATTTTTTGTATTATATACAATAGTTATGTTGCATTATGAAGGAATTATTATTATTATTATTATTTAATATACAAGTACATGTTCCTGTGCTTGTATGTTTATTTTGGGAAGCTGAAAAAGAGTAACACTTTTTAGTGGGACATGTATCTGGTATTTATTTTTAATTGTCTTCACTGTTGTGCTTAGAAGATCTAGTTACTCCACCGCTTATGACATATTTACTAAATGTGGATGTCATAAACAATCATGTAGCAACTGCAGCCTATTTTTTTCTTTTTCTCTATCAAGATGCTTTGGCTATCTTGTAATTCAATAAAGAGAGATACCTACCTTTAAAAACAAACAAAAAAAATTATATATATTATATACAGGTGCATCTAAAAATGTTTTTGTAATTTAATTCAAAGAAGCAAACTTTCTTCTCTTGATGCGCTGACTCTGGCTTCAGTCCACTCCTTGTGAAGCTCTCCCAAGTTCTTGAATCAGCCTTTCCTGACAATCTTCCCAAGGATGCGGGCATCCCTGTTGCTTGTGCACCTTTTCCTACCACACTTTATCCTTCCAGTCAACTTTCAACGAATATATTTCGATACAGCACTCTGTGAACAGCCAGCCCTTTCAGCGATGACCTTCTGTGGCATACTCTCCTTCTGGAGGGTGTCGATGGTCTTCTTCTGGACAACTGTCCAGTCAGTCAGTAGTCTTCCCCATAATTCTGGTTGCATGTTCTAAACTAGCCCAGGAGGTACCCAGTATTTATACTCAAAATTAATCAAACTAATCAAGCTCAAAATGGAATATTCAAATTTTTTGAGATACTGAATTTTTTACTTTTCTAAGCTGAGAGTCGTAACCATTAGAATTTTTAAACAAACAAAAAAACAACTCTTAAAATATTTCATTTTGTGTGCAATGAATCTAGAATATAAGAAAGTTTGCTTTTCCATGATATTCTAATTTTTTTTTTAGATGCACATGTATTTCCCTGAAGGTATGTTACTGTTTTCGCCTCATTCATTATTCTGATGTCTTCAGATCACCTGTAAACTGCCACCTGAAGCTCATTTCAATGGTGTCAACAGACTGAGACAAACTACACCATTATCTTAAATGTCTTAACTGATGTTTCATGTAAAATAACCAAAAAAACATTGAACAAAAACTCATTAAATTTAGTTCAATCTTTAAATAAAGTTAAATGAAGTTGAAGAACTCAATTGGAGTGTTTTATATTTTTTTGCATACAAATGTTTACACATTTCTGAATTTGTATGTTCCTGTTTTTATCCTGACATTTTTATTTTAATGTTTTTTCATTATGGTATTATATATTTATATATTTTGCTATTGTATTATGGAGTGACACTTTCATAAACTTTTCTATACTGCTCTGATTATATAATGGTAAATATTACAATATCATAGCACAACAACAGTGATCAGCAATAATGATAAGCCGAATACTCACAATAAAAATAATAAGGTCATATAGATCATAACACCGTCTCGGAGGTAAGAAGTGGATTATCCTTCACCTGAAATGTTTGTCTTTTCATCCTGAAATGCGAGGCAAATGTTGGATCACAATAATTAGGAACCACAGTTTCCACAAATCCCATCACTCGATTGAGATGTTCTCTTTTATTCTGGAGGGCAAGGGCAGTGACTGTACCATCGAGTGTATTTTGCAGTATTAAACACGTATTTATACCGATTTCATCAGGCTCCGAAAATTCTTCAAAAAAGAACACAAAGAATG